AAGAGGTTTGCAAGAGAGGTCTGTGGTCATTCGAAAGAGTCATCTCACTATGCCATTGCTATTGACTGAATTGATGTTTGAGTCTTAACAGTAACATTGTGGAAAGGGAAAAAAAAATAAAAAAGGAAAATAATACTTGGTTGGTTGGCATATGTGAGAGTTAGGAAACTTTATAGGGTGCAAACAAGTACTAAGTAAACTCTATTACTCTCTGTTTACCCTTGACTACAATTCTAGGTTTGATATCCCATTAGCAAATGACAACTGTTTTTTTCAATTGAATATCATGCTCATTTTCTTTCTTAAATGATTCTGTTAGTGCTACTGTGCCCTGCTAATCACCTGAAGGGATTGCAGTCTGTATGTACACATAGTATACAGACAGATACACACACATGTGTATATGTGTTTGTGTATGTAGATATTATAATGATCAGCCTTCTAGACTGTGGTTCTGTCATGATGGGGAGATTGGAGATACTCATCTTTCACCATTTAGTACTTTGTGAAAGAGTCACAGAAGCTAGAGTTGACCCTTTTACGTACTATGCATTTCTCTAGCTCGACTGGTACGTAGTCTCACAATCAGGTGGGAGAGAAGATGGCAATCAGTACTTACTAAAGATAGTGAAGTCTAGATTGATTCCTCCTTTGCTTTAAGGTGTTTTGGGACCACAACATTTATTGCCTTGGGAGTATCAACCTAGAGACTCCTGTGTGTGGAGAGCGTGCCACGCCATATGGTCTATATATACATGTATATAAGTGTGTGTATATACATACACACACACATACTAACAAACATGTATCTCACATAACGAGTTACTGTGTGAGAGAGAAACTTTTCCGAGGACTAAATCTCCTATGCCCAGGAGTCCAAGGCATGTGTTGTCATCTTTTTTTCTTAAATCATTGAATAAATGGATGAATTGGAACAGATGACTGCTTTACTGTTCCACTTGCCAGACTCCTTTAGTATATCTGAGCCTGTATACTTGGAAGATACTGCTTAAAAACTGTAAAACTTTTATCTCTTTTAAAAGACAGTATAATAAGAAAGCATTGTTACAAACATATTATACTTTGCCACTTTATTCAGTTCTATTAGAATATATCTGATATCCAAGTCAAGAAAATTTAGTGAAGGATAATTGTGACAAAATTCTTCTGATTTGCCATTTTATTGCAGTACCCTCTTTGTCAAATATTGTTAAAGTTTTGGAAAAACTGCATGAGCTCACTGTCCAGCTCAAGCTTGTGTGTGCTTTTTTACTGGCAAGCTATAAAGTTGTGAAGACATCGCTCTGACCTTCAGCCAAGCATGTAACCAAGCATGTTTCTGGACAGGATAATGTCTAATTTGATTCCTATTCTGTAAAAGGGATAGTCTTCTGGTGATTTTTTTCTTTTCCTAAGAACTTGATCCATTACCGCAGAAAACTACCCAGTTCTGCCAGAAGTACTTCTTAACAGCATAGAAAGCATGTGGTTTGGTCAAGTAGGTGTTTCTTTGGTATCATCTTTAGTACTGGAGTGACGCCTGAAACTGCAAAAGCTAATATGAAGTCTCAAGCAAACAGGTTAACATCTTGGGGAAAACATTAGCATTGATGAAAATGTCCCTCTTAGTTTGACCCATGACACCTTGATCAGTGTTTACAACACCTAACATTCAGAGATCATCAGCCAGAACAAAATGAGGAGAAAAAACCTTTGAATTAGTTTATTTGATGATTTTGGATTATTTTTGATTTCTAAGCCCTTAACTTGCATGTGGCATAACATTTGCAGAGCTTTTTCTGCACGTAAGCAAGACAGAGTGATAGAAAAGTAAATTTTTATTGGTACGGGAACAGAAACTGAGGTACTCAGTTTTTGAAGCTAAGGCTTTCAGAACACCAGAAAATATGAAGAGTCAAAATACAATTGTGAATTGGCACCTGCTTTAACGTTTGCCTAACTTGACTTTGGGCATGGAAAGAAAATTTGTTTGTAATTATTATGATTAATTTGTATTTCATTATCATCTTAATGCTCAGTCAGCGTGAGCTTGTTGTGCTATGAGCTATACAGACACAGCCAAAAGATAGTTCTGTGTGCATGTTACATATGGAGATGTTCCAGGCACAGACCATGCCAATCAAACATCATATGGATGTATATACTGGCCAGCTGTAGTATACCCCAGGAAGAGTGTGCTGCAAGTCTGTGGTGCCATTTTAACCATCTTGGAAGTCATACTCCTATATAAAATTCTCTTATATGAAATTCTGCTGTATGTGTCCCATGCTGCTGAAGATGTGAAGATCATGAAAGGAAGGATGAATTGAATTAAAGGTGTCTCAACCAGAATTCATCATAAGAATACTTTTACAAGCATTAGAATAACATGATGAATTTGATCTTTTATTTTGGGCTTTCTTTATTTTGGCTAATGTGAGATGTTTTTGAGAAACACACTTAGATATTTTCAGACGCAGTGCAACAGTAATTTAAATTAATTTCAAAGTCTAATATCTCTGATATCTTTACTTGATAATGTACTATGGAGATGGGAAGTAGAGGGACTAGAGCATGTGTAAGTTTTCCAGTCACAGAGTAAATACAGAGCAGATCCATAGTTAGGCATGTTAAAGTACATATTAAAATAAACTTCTCAGTAATTGATTTATGCCTTTCTATAAAATAGTTCCTTTGATATTTTCCTATGTAATTCTAAAGATTCACACAAATGGAAATACCAGAATTACAAAGAAATATAAATAATAATTAAAAAATCTTATCAGAAGTAGATACATTTGTCAGCTCTGTTGTCTAAAAACATACTACTTGTACTACTTAACAGAAATGAGTGATTGACTTTCCAGTGTTTCCCTAGGATAACAGATTAGTAGCAGACTGTTATTTCTGATAGGGCAAACTTTACATAAGATAGTTATGGGACAGCTTTGAGCACTGGCTGTATTTCAGGCCTGCAGATAACATACCTACAAACACTGACTAAGGTTTATGGCAATAGATTTTAGGATATCACCAGATTTGATCCTCTGTAGCTTGATAGCAATGCACTGAGTGACTTTTAAGTTGTTGAAAGGATAACAAATAAAAGTGTGGTTGGATTGGTATAATATTTCCACTTGGACCTATAGTACTGTCTATTTATTTTCTTCTATTTTTTTAGGACTTGGGATTCTTGGATTGGTGTTATGTATTGTCCAAATTACTGTAGTACTACTGCTTAGGAGGGAAAACTGTACTACTATTCATATGGTTATAGATGCTGCTCTGCAAAGAAAATGGGAGGTTGAATTTGAGTGATTGTTTCTGTTACTTGCCTTGCACGAGGAAAATAAAATATAAACTTATTTTACAATATTCCATAGTAGAATATAAAGGCCAGGCGGCCTACATCTAGTCTTACAGGGTTGGAACTCTGAAGCACACCTGGGATCTTGATTTCACAAACAGATTTTGGGGGACTGGGTACACAGATCAGGGTTTTTTCCTGGAATATACCATAATTCATTTTTTCCCTGTGAGTTCATGTTTTGCTGTGTTTTGGAAATAAAGTACAACTAGAGTACACACTAGAATTTAATAATTAAAGGGTATCTACAAGGGTAATCACCCCTCTTGTATCTCTTGGTCCACATAGGGTTTAAGTGATGTGTTGTGCTGGGTGTTGCACAAACCCATTGCTATACTGATAGCTGGTTTCTGTCCCAAACAATTTGAAGTCTGAACAACAGAGATGAAACTAATGATGTGCATACCCTTTAACTTCTAGTTTAGGACTTGCTTACTGATATCAGACAGAAGTTCATTCTGTCAGAGAGTAGACTTATTTCACCAGTGTTACTTGTACAGTGCTACCCAACATAAATATCTCACTTGGACCCTAGATATTGTCTGCTCAAAGAAACCCGGAAGTTTTAGTGCTCAGTTGTGATCTAGTAGATTCATTCATAGATTTGTATTTATACATATATACAAATACAAACCACCTTATCGAAAGGTTTAAATTCTTGATTTTAACGGATACTGTGTTGTTACCATTAATCTGTGTGCATCAGCTGTGCAGTTATAGCTGTACAGACTGATGGAGTCTTTTCAGTATTTCATATCACTACTGTTACTCTCAAATGTACAATAAAAGTAACTTTTAAGCTTTTATTTAGGTGGTTCCAGCAATTCTTTGGAAGTGTACGGTTAATGAGTGTGGGTTTTCAGAATTAAAAATAAGGTGAATAAAGGGCAGTGAACATTAACCACAGTCTCTGGCAGAAGCTAGAATAAAATTTTTCATTTTGAGTATAAATAGTTTTCTAAAGGGCAAAGGGTTTAAGATATAGGCAGCTTCATTAAAAAGGTGACAGTTCACTTGTTTCAGCATTTCATGCGAAGAATTGTGGCCAATTAAGTGATGAATGCATTCAGATATTGCAGTGGATACACTTATATGATAGAACTCCATTATCAATTGTTATGAATAAGAGTAGCATATTAACTAACAAACTGCCAGGAGAACCAGAATATTTGCACAACATACTTACCTTGAATAGTACAATTTTTTTTCCTTTCTTATTTGAGCTTAAATCATCACTGAAATGTTTATGTATCTTAAATTTAATACAGGTGGTAATGAACACCAGCTCTGTGACCCCTTGAGCAATGGTGGGCTTGTTTATTATGTAGGTGTTTTTTCTTGTTGTGTTTCTGTTCTTTTTTTAAAATGGATCTCAAAATGGCAGCTGCTGACCAGTATGTCCTACTGGAAAACAAATCAGGTGTTATTTTTCTAAACAAGTTAAAAATTTCTTAAATGAAGATATTCACTTATGTTATGGATGTATGGTTATATATGTGTTCAGAAGAGGAGTGTGCTACTACATGGCCCAATTCTGCTTTGAGTCTAATTGGTTATTTGTACATGCAATTATCTGATTTATGTTCACAAATTTGTAATTACATGTGCAAGTTCTATGCAGAGATGAATGCAGATGGTTAGAAAACAAGCCTTGAAGCAGGACTGTTCATTCCAGCTAAAGTTCATACATTTAAATCATTGTTTCAGGCCATCTGCAGACTCTAACAGACATAACCACATCAGTTACACTTGCTTCACATTAGGAATCATCCCAGCAACTTGAAGTAGGAACTTTTTAAAAAAAATGAAAGCTTAAAATTCTTTTAGATTGTGTCATTTATGGATCAAACCTGCCTTTCTGGCCTATTTGCTCCATGCTTGACATTTTTATAATATACATAGTAGATGTTGTTTTGAAGGGATGCTTTTTAGAATTAAAAGCCTTAGAAAAGATGAAAACAGTTGAGGAAAAAATAGGCTTTGCATCTGTTACAGTTTGGGGTTTCATGTGGGTGAATAACACTGTTAGAAGGAATCATTTAGCTTGCATATTTAAATTATGGGTGCGGTTTATGCTGGAAGGTTGAGTGAAATGGGAAAGGCGTCTGTTATAACTTGACAGAAAGAGCATTTATGGGAAGAATGCACTTTAGAGCACTGCTTTTTTTACAGGTTGGGTTAGGTTTTTTTCCTTTTTTGTAGTTGCAAGAATTATTCTGAAAAGAGAGCAGTGTAAATAGAGGAAATAAATATGATTTTGCAAGATTTTCTTGTGGCTATTGCCAGTATTCCTAAGTAACTTTCTTCAGGATCTCCAGTGCTGTGATTTCTCTACTTCTCTTGGATATTCTGAGTACTCTTTCTGAAGCAACGTTTATATCCAGTGCAAATATATCAATATGGTTTGAATTTATACATGAGTTCTGTATAATAATTGCATTTCATTGTTCATTCAGACTTATTTTCTACTCTAACTTGTATGGCTTTCATCATCAGAGGCTTGTGTTTCACAGTTATTACATAGTCACAAGAGCCAACATACTTAAATGTTTTAAGAACTTTCAGGCAGATCTAGTGTTTCAGCTAATTAGATGAAGCAGTGAACTTTTTGGCTTAATTTACTTCTGACATCATAATTCTGCCACCCAACATAATTAGATTAATTTCTTATCTGTTTTTCACTTTCCAATAGATGGCTGACTTACAGATCTCAATTTCATTAAGAGCACAGTCACATTTCAGTAATATTTTAAACTTATGTACAATCACAGCAGTATTCAAATCTGGTACTGTAATTTACTCCAGTAACACTCAGATTTCTAACTGGTTTTATTTCCTTTCTTGCCTTTTGGGTCATTTATATATTCAAGTAGTATGGTCAATCAAGTAGAATCTTCTTAGATTCTTTAACTGTGTTTGTAGTGGGACTTTGAGCATCAAGTAAGAGCTGACAGGTGTTGCTGTAATATATATTCTGTATATTCTTGCACTCATGTACCTTGTATCTTGTAATCTTGTACTCTTGTGTCAAGAATATTCCTGATCTTTCTGAAAAGCAGAGTGATTTGGGCTGAGGAAGATGGAAGTGGCATAATGTTTGCATAACTGGTCTGTTAGGGGAAAAATAATTCAACAAGGTCTTCTCTAAGCCCCCAAAAGCTCAGTATCCTAGTGGTTGTGTAAATGGTGTTAGAATGGGATACGGAGTGCAATATATTTTCTTCCTTTTAGCTTAAGTATTTGAACTACTGATAACTGGTGCTGGGTTTCTGACCAATTATCCATTTTTGGCCATTTTGGTTTAAAAATAGGAGTAAAGTGTTCTGTTACTGAAATGTAGTAATATTTTATCAGTACGCTTCCTTCACTGCTCACTCATATAACACAATCTAATTCTTTTGAAGATCATTCCTATACTTCTTTGTGAAGATTTTTAAACACATCTTTGTATTTATTTTTATCAGCGTTGTTTGCTGTCTCAGTAACTTCTTCTAATATATCATGAGTTCAGCCCTAATTATCGCATGAGAACGTTTTCTGTTTAACTGTGAGAAGAAAAATAAATTTAAGGTAATTGCACTGAGAGTTTCATTGTTTTATACGACTGCTGCAAGTAAAAAGGACATGGTGTGATTTCTAATGTTTGTTTTACTAACTGTCAAGATAGATATATGCCCAGTCTTAGAATTGCATTCTCCTGCTTTGTTCTTGAGTGGGAGTAGAAGGGGAAAACTTAAAATAGTAAAGTATAAGGTTTAGATCGATGTATGTTGTCATTTTTTTTCCTTTAAAATGCTAGTTCAGTGCATTAGAAATATTTATGAAGGTTACCTTGGCAAGCAAGTGTTTTCCAACCAAAGGAATTAAATTACACAAAAGGTTTAGTCTGTCTTCCTAGACCTTATTTTTCAGAATTGACACGCCCTTGGCTCAAGTCTTATTAGCGTGAAGGCTGCATGTATGATGCTGAGGGCAGCATGGAAGCTATCCCCAAACCCACATATATACCATGGAGGAAGAGTTGGTTACAGGTTGTCACAGGCCATCCCTGTCTTAGCATTAACTCAGCAAATAGCCTTAGGCTGTGACATCCTAAGCCCTTTTGCAGTGGCCAGTGTATGACAGCACATAATAACCACTTCCAGTGGCTGAGGGGACGTAGAACAACTGAGAAATAAAGCCTAGATTTTCAATATGTACCTAAATGAGATGCATAAATGCTGATGTAGCTAAAATTGATATTGATATTCAAAGCTGTTCTAAGCAGTTCCAAGAACATAAAAAATACATTAAATAAATACACCAAATGCTTGTTACAGATTTGCTGCCTATCACCTCCGGAGTGTAACTCTCCCTGCCACCCCCCAGTATTACTGATTATAAAACTGCCTGGCCAATGGCAGCTTCACTGCATCATGTTTGCTCAGTTTCAAATGAGGACAATATTTCTGTGCACTAAACTTGCTCACAGACAAGGTTAAAAATAAAACTGTAAATGTAGAAAACTAGCCCTGAGAATAATTAGTTTTGGCTAGAAAGACACTTTGCCTTCTTACAGCTGGCCAGAGTTGCTGTTTTCTTTAGGGATACTTCACGTACTGAATAAAAATAATTTTAAAGAGTGACATTTTGCTCATCTAGAGTTAATTTTGCACAATTACCCTCAAAGTCAGGACATAAGAAATATAAAACACAGCATTATCTCAACTTTGTTGCACACTCTTTTCATTTTATAGTGTATATTTTGCCATCCAATCAGTCATCTATAAAATGCTAGTAACCTACTCTGAGAGGTATATACTGAAGAGTTTCAGGTGTTTTGGAACCAATACCTTCCTTGGTGCTCAGAACTTTAACAGAAATCAGTGGGAGGTCTATGTGTTTAAGGCTTTCAAGGATGAGACCCTTAAGTTTTAAAGCCGTGGCTGTCTTCTGACAGGTAGTGAAAAGAGCTGAATGAAAAGTCCACTTACTTTTAAAGCCTGCAGATAAACCGGTACCTATTCTCCCTTTGTCTCTTCCCATGTGATTGTGCAGGACCAGATCTGCTGATTATGTCTGCTTTTGATTGTTTTGCAATATCAAAGTGATTTCTAGGAGCAAGCTCATACTTTGATAATACAATTGGAAGTGTATAAAACTTTAAAAGTATAATCAAAGCACATTTTAGCTGATAATAACCACTGATACTTCCATTTTTTATTCTTTAATTCAGCCATCTGTTGTTGTCTAGATTTGGTTAACAGGAAGGATGTAAGACTAATGTATAATCGAAAGACCAAAAAAGAACTACTTCAGAGAACTTGCTGTATTTTAGGACAATATACTCTCAGTTTTTTCTCATGTTTTGTACCTTTCATGCCAGTCACAGTACAGAAAACATATACACCCTTTCCTTCAAAGATGAAGTTGCTAGAGCCTTAGTATTCCTTGAAGTATTTGCGAAAGTTGAAGGGATGAAATACAAATCTGACCAAAACTTTATGGATTTATGTTCAGTGGTTCTGGAAAGTGTTCTGAATATCTTAATAGCTGATTGCAATGAAGAAAATATTTCCCTCCCTTTGTGTGGTGGGGTTTTTCGGTAGCGGGGTAGGGTCTGCAGGGCTGGCTGCTGCTGGAAGCTGCTGGAAGCTTCCTCGGCTGGGGGGCGCGGGCCCCGCCTCTGGGAGAACAGATTCCAGAGGGGAAACCTGCCGGGAGTCGGGGGATCAGGATGGGAGAGGAACCCCTGTGCAGATCCCGAGGGCAGGGAGGAAGGAGGAGCGGGGTAGGAGGCTGATGCCCCCGCAGCCCGTGGGGAGGCGGCAGGCTGGGTCCCCCCACCCTGGGGGGGGG